AGACTGTAGTATCTTTTTCTTACAGGCTTTTTTTTCCCCCCTGGGGTACATAGAAAACTGGGGAAGGAGATTTCTGGGATGAGTTGAGCTGCTAAGCTTGGATAATCAAATATTTGTGACTAATAAGATTTCAGAGGCTGCCCAAACGGATTAAAACATACACAGTGTGTTAAACAAAGACATATTTATGTTTGACAAGTTTGGCAAATACACCACAGCAGATGTAATTCCAGGAGAAAATGTCGAAAGAGCTGGAAGTTTTCATTGACTGACACTGAGTTGTTAAAGAGAGCACGTGTCATAATGGGATATATCAGCGTACTTCCATGGGACAGGAGGAGGGATTTAATAGTTTGTATTTTATACTGACTAAGCCACGGGTAAAGTATTTATCAATGGTATTTAGTTTATTTTAATGAGTATAGTTCTTAAAGACATGCAGTGTTTAAAAAAAAATAATAGTGGGGGTGAGGGATTTAGCTCAGTGGTTCTGTCGCCTGCCTCACAAGCACAAGGTTCTGAGTTCTATCCCTGATACAAAAAATATAAAAAAAATGATAGTAGAAAACGGAAGAATTGTCAAAGAAGGGTGATTTTTGGGGGGCAATATTTTCAGACTATTTTATTTGAAATAGATTGATGAAAGAAACTAAAGTTTCATTAGCCTGGACACAAAAGGAGTGAAAGACGTGGCCCTTAATGTTGTTAAAATCATGTGGCAACTTATCCTATGCAATGTTAAAGGTCCCACTTTATAAATTAATGTAACATAGTTGCTTTTGAGATTTATATTTTAGGACAGTGCTTATAATTTTATATATAAGATACTTATTGTTATAGTCAAAGGCAAAAATTAAAACTACTGGGTGGAAATAAAAGGAAAGCAAATGAGAAATTTTAATTGATCCACAAGAAAGAGGCTTTTTAATAACAGCTAGGCTCTGAATAGAGGAGACTGCCTGCAGACTTCTGTAATGGGAGAATCTCTCATGAAAGAGATGTTTTACTTTTTGAAACAGTTCTCATTCTATATAATCATTTAAACAACTGTTATTTTTCATTTACTTTTTTAGATTATCGGGAAGGTTCTGTACGTCTCTCCCTTTCCATTGCCTTCTGGGTAAAAAGAGAACATAGCCTATGCTGCGGTGAAACCAGACATGGTTCAGGTTAGCTTTGGATCTCTGATAGAATACAAGTGACAGTGGCCAGCAGAGGAGGGATGAGAATGTGTGGCTCAACCTGATTTGTGGAGAATGGTGTAGTTTGCTCACAAAATCTCAGAGAGACCACATATAAATGTCTGCCAGTGTCTTAATAGCTCTCGGTGTGGGTTGACAAGGTCTGTATTTCTAGACTGAACACGAAGGGGGCTTTGCTCCCCTGGGGGTATTAGCTAATGTAAACTGTCCCTGCTTTTGGAGATCATTTGGCTCATTGCAGTAAGTGCTTTACATTTGTTATCGCATTTAGTCCTTACAACGTTTTTATGAATGATGAAGTGAAGAAACTGAGACTCAGGGAGGTGAAATTTCTGTGTAACATCACACAGCTAGTGAGTAGGGATTCTGGGCTTATCTGACTCTGAAGCTCATTACCTTCATTATTATTCCATAAAAATTCTAAATACTGAATGAATCAAGGCATCTTCCCAAATTACCTTCGTCTTTATTTACTAAAGCCTATTTCACAGTGCTGCAATCTGGGGTTGTAGATATAAGTGAGGACTGAGGCCTTTGATCTCGAGAGGCTTACAGTATAGTGGCAAGAATATCATTAAACAGGTTACACAAATTAATGACAGTTTTGACAGATACTACCAAGGGAATGTACAGTTTAAACCATATCTGAGAGTTCTATGAAAATGATTGTTCTTGAGTGTAAGATTGCTGAACTGGGGTTTGTTACATAGAACCTGTATATAATATTGCCATTAGGCTGTAGGTTTTTGAAAAAGCCCTGGGCTACTGGTGAATAGCAGTTCAGTTTGGTAGAAAGAGCGGACTTCAGTGTCCCATGGGCTAAATTCTAGCCGTGCAATTTTGGGGCACACTATCCTCTCAGAGTGTGCTGCATATGTGTGGAGTAGGATTCATTTTCTAGGCTGTTGTAATGATTCTTTGTGTCTTGTAAGTCACACATTCATGACAACTACTACAGCATATAATTTTCCCATAAAATGCATTCAAATAGAATAGAGAATTCTATCCTCTGTAACACCTTAATTAGTAACCATGTATGCTAGGAGTGAAAAACTGAGTTGATCTGTGAATGTGGCAGTTGGCAAGGTGTTGTAACATTTTAGATGATTTATTTTCTCATCTGAGACTACAAGTGATGCTAATTCATGTGTCATCAAAATGATATTGGCCTTTGAGGCTTTTGAAGAGTTAGAGGTAGGTAAGGTTGCATATAGGATTCTAGAGGTTAGTATAATAATGTCAAGCTGCTACAGAAGACTGAGTGCACAGGAGTTATCTAATAAGTACTAGCTTATCTTATTATATTTAAACATTGTTTTACCAATATCATCATGGATATAAGTGCTGTTCACTCACTTCTTAGCTTTATGGCCTCAGGCCAATTAATTCAACTCTGTACATCTCACAGAATGTTAATAATACCTCTTCTATGAATCACATGGATTAAATAAAATAATATGTTATATGAAAGCAGATGAAATACTTTATGTTGTATGAAAGTAATCTGTAATTGTGGAGAACTATAGAATGGTTTATTGTTATTATAACTCCATAATCGTTTACCCAGGACATGGGGCCTTAAACATCTAAGCACTTTAATGAACTGCCAGTATGGATTAGGGAAAATCACATTAATGTTAGGAAAAGGACAGAAAGCCTGTCATTAATACCCATTTAGGATTCTGCAAACGTAAACACTGAAGTGATTTGTAATTTGTGGAGAATTTTTTTTCATTTCTTCCTTTTTTCTTTTTGCAATCAAAGAGACTCTCTCAGAAAGTTTTATTTAAGTCCTGAAAGGCCAAAATTTTAACCTTCAAGTGAACACTGGTCTATTGTATTTATCTTAAGGACACTTAAAATGAGTTTTCTGTTTGAGAGGCACTGAGGAATTCTTGAATGAGCCTTTAAGATATCAGAGCCAGTGTTCTTGGTTCAGAAGAGTGCTTAAAGAGCGAACCTAAGCCATGGAAAGACACATTCTCCATGCCCTAAGTGCTTTGCCACTCCCGGTCTCTGCTCTTCCCCTGCATATGTTGCTGTCTTTAAGGGCAGGTTTGTTTCTCCCCCACTGGGGCAAGTGGAGTCTGCGAAGGAAATTTCTGGAATGAGAATGTATTGCCTCTGATTTGCTTGAGTCTGAATGTCTGTGAGATAGGCTCGGATACAGCTAGGCAAGGAGGTGAAATCTGGTCCTGTATTCGCCAGTTCTGCATGTTCATTCACCTCCTGTGAAAAATAAAAGATCCTTCACTAGGAAGGCAGCTGACCATGCTGACGTATCCAGGGTGTCCCTGGCTGTGGAGAGTCCGCTCTTTAGAGAACAGTGCTGAATTCGAAACCTTTCCTGAAAAACAGTGCCAGAGAAAGAAAGTAGCGGAGAACTAAAAAAGGTGGGGAGGTGCAAGGCAGCTCCTAGAGAGGGAGAGTGATGTAGGATCATGAATGCAGGTCTGACACAGGAGAACAATCTGTTGTACAAAGAAAGAAAGGACATTTTATGTTAAAATTGAACACTTGGAGAGACTGATTTGTACAGAAGAGACAGTGATGTTTCGCCACTGCTTTATAATTATGCTCTTCTCTTGACAGCACTCATTCTAGTAATTCTGGATACAGCCGGGTCCAGATGTGGTAGCCTAGGCCTATCATCCCAGCATTTAGAAAGCTGAGGCGGGAGTCATGAGTTCCAGGAGAGCCTGGGCTACATAGCCAGACTGGTCCAAAAAAAAATGCCAGCTACAGTTATCCTTAGCAACAAATGGCAGTGGCAGTTTTAGGAGCCTGTTTTTGAGGAAATAAATGATAACATTTTCAACTTTTTTTGTAATAGATAAAATCACTTTTTAGCTGAAGTAAATAATACGAGAAAGCAAAATAAAACATGCATATTAGAAAGGAGACCCAGTTCATCTTATTTGTAAAAAAGAACAGTTCTTTATTTTTGTATAATCAGAACTTCTGATAATTCAGTTAGTTGTTTGTATAGATAATTATCACAATTCAGTGGCCATTGAATGTACTAGCAATAAAATATGAAAATATTACAGAGAAAGTTTATAACTGCAACTGAAAAATGTTAAGCCAATCAAAAGGTTATTGTGCGTTTTAAAATAGATCTTAAGTGGAGTAATGTGTGTAAATTCCTTCCAAATTTAATTAAATGTTTCACTCAAATCCAATCTTAATTTTATCTGGCAAAATAAAGTGAATAATTAGAAACATAAGAAGAAATAATAAGAGCAGTGTCCTGTTCAGAGTGAAGAGTATTAGAATGTCACAGCAATTACAACAGTGTAATGCTGACGTAGCAGTTGAATGAAAGATCAGTGCGACTCATCGGGACCACGGCACAAGCCCCAAGCTGTGGTTTGCAGTTAGAGATTCCTAGATGTACCTGTAGCCACTAGAGGAAGAAGTATGGGGGGTTCTTATATTTCATCTGCAGCTCAACAAAAACAGTTCTATATGTGCTTTTATATTGTGTTCCACGTTTGTATGTTGCTTTCACATTTGAAATGTTTTAGTGTGTTCTCATATTTATATTTGGTGTCTGTATATGGTAGAGAATGCCTCACTAACCATGTGCAGCTCATGAAATAGAATAATGTTAGAAAAATGTGGCTTATCAGTGGGAAGTTGGGGTTTATGTCTATATTTCAGCTTGGTACAAAAATATAAATTTCAGATGAACCAAAGTATAACGAAATAAAAGTACTTGAGAGAAACATTTGTAGGTATTTGAATACTCTCTGGATAAAAGGAATTTTCAGTGCATAAAAGCAGAAGCCAGTGTATGTGCGAGGTGATAGAATTGTTTGCGTAAAAATGGAAAACTGCATATATGTCTACAAAATCCAAACAAGTCCGAGGTCAAGTAATACCTCATGCCTAAGACCCTGCTGGGGCCATGGCAATTAGTCTACCATTTGGACCCGAGAGCTCCGGATGCCACTGCACTCTGTGAGTTTTCCCCACTCTAATGTTTGGAGTATGGCTGCCTGTGAGTCTGATTCATGTCTTTGCCTTGCGTCACATTATTTTGATGGTATCAATGTTTTGTTCAGTGATGGTAATTTCTATCTTGTTCTACTGTTGCGTACACAGCTAGAGTTCAGTAAAGCTCACTTACACCCAGGAACCTGTCCTTCTCTGTCTCCTTTCTCTGTCTTGCAGGAACTGAGGGTGGCTTCTGGTGCTCTGTGTGGCTTCATCATTTCCTTCCTGCCTCTCTTCCACTTCCCGATGTAATTCTTGGCACTTTTACTTCCTTTGTAGAGTAGGATGTGATGTCATAGAGAAGGGGACAGGGCTATCCAAATTATCTCAATTGCTGGGAGGAGCTGCCCAGGTGTGCTGAGGGGCCTGTACTCAGGAAGAGAAACAGGGAATCCTCCACAGTGAGTAACCCCACTTTTGAGTGCACCCGAATTTCTGTTAAAACATTGCCCAGTACACTGGAGTTTCCTCTTTGGCCCTTTCTAGATTGAACCAGTTTGCTTTTAGACATTCCCAGTTCAGCTCAATTTTCCTCCTTTATTTCCCATCTCTCCTGTGCCCCCTAATCCCTCAACCCTGTGCCTCTACTTTCCTGTTCCCCACATCCTTGCTTGCTTAGTGTCTGTCTGTGTCTATTGGCCTTCTGCACATATCTTTTATAAGAGACCATTAGTGTTCCCAGCATTGCCTCTCATTTGGGACGATGCCCACCATGTATGTAGACCATGTGACCACAACATCTCCTTCCTGTAATTCATAATTATATGCTGTTCTACTTACAATTTCTCTTTTTTTGAAAATTCTGTCAATTTTTGTTTTCATGTCTTATTTCTTTCCTCCTTTCTATGTGATCAAATCTTTTCCTTCTTTCAGCTCTATTATACAGTTTCCTTATTGCCTTTTTTCCAATATTTTTTACCTATATTCTTTTTCCCCCATACAGCTTTGCATATGTTTCTTTTATCCCCTTTCCCAGTTTTCAGTTCAGCTCTCCAGTTTCGTCCTCTGTGAGGACCATTTTCCTACTTCTCCGTGGACGTACTTATGTCACACACTCTTTCTAGCGTGACTCTGATTTCTGTATTCTTAAGGAAGTTACTGAGCCGGAGTAAGGGATTGATTAAGAATGAGAAAATGCAGAAATGGCCCATGAACTGGAAATAGGGGAGTAGGGAACAGCCTAAATGTGAAGGATAGGCTTCACGTATCTCAATGGAGGACCAGATGGACAGAGACTTTCCTAGTGAGCTAGTTGAAAGTCAGCCATCAACAGTAGAAGAGATCATGGAGCTATTGTCAACAGATTGGGAAGCCACTTAGGGTAACCCTTTTAATTCTTCATAATTATGATCCTTCTAATATGTAATCATGAATGAGAGTTCTAGCACTGTCCAGTTGAATGGGGCCATGACTTTTGCAAGAAGCTCCATTATAACATCTTTAATTAGGTGTAAATTCCCCTTAGAGAGGAGGTCACTTGAAGAGATGTGAAGTCTTGTTTCTTACACCCAGAGGTGGTCCCTAAGGTCCAGGGACCTCAGACTCTGCTGTTGATTGCTTCTGCTGCATGGAGTTAAGTCCCTGGATAAATAAAAGAACTTGATTACCAGGGCTGGTGGTCTAATGCCTGTGGAAATAATCAACTGTGTTTCACTTATTGCCCTACCTTTTTTTTTTAAAAAAGAACCCCCTTCCCCAAAGAATAAGCAGGGCAGAAGAGGAGAGAAAGAAAATGGGACTGAATTAAAAAACTGAGATGGGCTGAATAGAAAGTGGAAAGGATTTACTTAAAATTAATTGGAAAAGGCAAAGGAAAGGAAACTGAGCTGAACTGGAAAACACACAGCAGCAACTGCCCTTGGCTTCTGTATTCTTATTCCAATGTTTTAGCTTTGAAGATTTAATTTTGTTTCTTGTTTTTAAAAATACCAATATGGTTGATCAAAGAATGAATATTGTGAGGCTGCTTTTGAACAACATTTAGTTCTTTGATGTTGGTAATATCCAGGCTCCATATTTCCAAGGTCTGAGAAATGAGGAAACATCTCAACAGCCTGAAGATGTGTCTTTGGCTATAAAATATTAGTGATTTTTAAAAATACAGATTATACACATATATATTGGCTTGGTTTCATTGTCACATATCCTTTTTTTTGGGGGGGTTGTGTGTAAACCTCTGTGACATTTTTTTGAAGAATGGCCCCATGTATTGCAGAAATTGCTGATTTAGAAGCCCAGAAAAAACATTACATTTTTCCCTTTGGACACCTTAGCTGTTTGATGAGAGCTTATTTTGACATAAAAGCCCCTTCCCTTTAAAAATTTGAAACAGTGACTGCATGATTCACACATATTTTCATTTTGTGTACTTCCACACAGTAACTAGGAATCTTGTGTTTATTTTTTAGGCACTAGAAAAACACCCCAACTCACCAATGACAGCAAAGCAGATATTGGAAGTCATTCAGAAAGAGGGATTAAAAGAAACAAGGTCAGTATTTGTTTTTAAAACTTTTGCGGTTATGATTGATGAATAGTTTCCACTAGGCTCAAAGCAATAGTTATATCTAGATTTTGATATTATACTTTATTGTGAATTAACTACCTGCAAATTCTTTTGTGATTATGAAATACTTGGATGACCTAAGATTTCCTTGGAACTGCCCGTTAACTTAATACGTTACAGTCGATGGATTGCTATAGGATGCACGGTACTTTGTGAAACAAGGAGCAGTGCTGTGTGATTTAGGCCCTCCTAGAGTTAGCCCTGTTTCTGTGTCTTGTAAGAAGATTCTATGCTTCCAAAATTAAGCAGTGGAAGGATTGCAGGATACAAAGAAGAGCCAACACTAATAAAATTTAAAGTACCAGTAAACGTGGCTAAGAGTTCATTCTCTAACTTTTAAGAGTTCTTATTCAGAGAATCTTTTATGCGTGTTGGGCCCACCTTCCTTCCCTTTTTAAATAAGAGCTTTATTGAGCTAGGATTCACCTATTATAGAATATCCCCCTTTAAAATGTGCAAGTTAGTGGTATATTTTGTGTTCACACAGTTGTGCAGTCATCACCATTGTCACCTAAAATAAACCCCATCCCTATTAGCAGTTATTTCCCCATTCCCCACTCTCCTGGCCTCTAAACACTAATCTTTATGGTTTCTGTGGATTTGCTCTTGTGAGTATTAATACAAATGGCATCCATATGAATGTAGCTTTTGGCTTTTTCACTTAGCAAGTAATTTCTTTTGAAATTGCCTCTGTCAGAATTTTGTTCCTTTTTGTTGCCAAACAATAATCCATTTAATAGTTCTGCCACATTTTGTTTATCCACGATGGTCCTTTATTTTTATATCTGTATTTATTAGTTTTAATATATTTGGCCTCCTAGCCAGCAGTCTAGAACTCTGTAGGTGATACCACTCTATGAAGAGAAGACGTTAATTCTAAATTAGAATAGGGTGATGACATCGTATGAGTATTCCATTCCCCAAGTGACACTGAGGGCATTTTGTCCATGAGGTGCTGGCTGCAGTTCATTGAGATAGCAAACTCGTAGTTACAGTGATTTTTAACTTGATTCAAATGAAACCTACTGCACTACCTTTTCCAGGTTTTGATATTAAGGTAGAACTGCGGAGAGAAATAAATATTCTGAGGCCAACTTTTTCTAAAACAAGACCCATGAATTCCACCTGTAATGTCTGTAACTTTAACGTGGGTAACGGCATCCTATAACTGATCAAAATGTGTGCTTTGCATATGGAGATACCTCAAAGAGCTTGGAATGGAGGTTCCATTTGACCCAGCCATCCCTCTGCTGGGTATCTTTCCAAAAGAACTAAATGAATCATATCACAGAGAAGTATGTGCACCCATGTTTATAGCCAACGTTTGTTAGATATGGTTTTTCTATAAAATGAAATATTACTCAGCCATAAAGAACAAGAAAATAGATTCATTCATAGGAAAATGGATACATATTGAAGATATACTCCTAAGTGAAATAAATAAGGCACACATGTGTAAATACCGAATAGTTTCTCTGGTATGAATAACTGTAATAATATATAAGATCCTAATAAGATTACTGACATGGTGAAATGGGAAGAAAGGGGCTAAAGGTGTAGGGAAGGTGAGATGGGTAGTGGAAGGGTAATAAGGGAAAAGAAAAAAATGTGAGATCATGAAAAGATGAAAATAAAGTGTTTGTAGATGGGGAGGGGAGGAGGGGGTGAAGGGAGGGCAGGGACAAGGGGAAAAAATGAGAACCAAGACCTGTCATGTAGAGGTACAAGATCCCAACAATGAATGTAACTGTACTATATCCCTAAAATGTAACAATAAACTCAATTAAAGAAAAAAAAAATGAAAAAAATTGTATGCTTTACAAGTTCAGTCCAGGGCCATCGCAGTTTAGTGGAAGATCAGGCACTGATTCTTTGAATTTCATCTGTTTTGGAAGCATTGTTTCTACCTGATCTGAAGAAGTTGCCTGAGAAGATATCAGCACGCTATGCTGGCAGGTATTACCCCCCTCACTCAGTGGTGGCAACAACCACAGCTTTATGCTGACTGCTTCACAGCCCTGCTGAAGGTAATCCTGTTCTGAGTCGGAGGTCAGCCTGAAGAGTTAGGGAAGCAAACGTGGGAATTGGAAATTAATTTTATCCTTGCCATATATCAATAACCTTAAAAATATTTATGCCATTTGGAAAGCAGTAAAAATATCTGTGGCACAACCAAAAGGAAGAAGGAAGTAAATGTGTAAAGATAGCAATTCCTATTGAAGGTGCTCTCTGTCCAGAGTCATGGTATAGATGTGAGGTGCATCTCCCAGACGGAGATGCTTGAATTCTGCTCAGCTGGACAGCCTTCTGCACGGAGTGGCTCTGTTGCCCTCAGTTGGCATCTACCTTCAACTGTAAAATTCCTGTTCAGGCTCTCAGCAGTACTTTAAAAGTTAAAAGTACTGACAGGCCAGTATAGTGATATTAAAAGTTCTATCTGTAAGCAGTTCTCAAGTTGAAGAGGAAAAGGGAAAGGCAAACAAGACTACTGTTCTTTTTAAGTTCTCTTTTGTAAAAGTAGGTCTGCATCGAGTGGCTGCAGTCTACGTATTTGTGTTCTCATTTCCCTTCTCCTACCTCCCCTGGGTTGTGATCTGTTCTTGACAGCCCATGTATCTCTGCTCACCCTTCCTTTGTGTTCTAGTTCTAGTTTGCTTATTAGAATCACCTGTAAAATAAACATGTTTAGATTTTGAGCGAGTTTAGGGACTGTCCTGTATGATATGAATGTTGTTTTAGGTAGCACATACTGACATTTAGTTCCGGACTCAATGTACTGGTTTTGTACTTTTCAAGTTTTTGAAATGTTTTCCAAATATTTAAGGTTGCTCAGTAAATGAAGTGTAACTATATATTTTCCTCAGATTTAGAAATTCCATCATCAGAAGGTCAAACATGACTGACTAATTTCTAGGTACTTATTAATGATATGTTTTTCTAGAAATACACATTGTCTGATAAAATATAGGGAAGTGATTATGAAATTACTGATGTGGCCATAGCCTTCTTGGTCTCTGGATAGGCAATGCTAATAGACCTTTCCTAAATGGGGCGTCACTGTACCTAGCATTTCTAAGGAAGAGAAAAGAGGGTCTGTATCCATCATCTTCTCAATATTAATAAAAAGCCATTCGTTTCCCTACTATGGGGGTCCTCATCCTCTGTATGCCAGCCATGTCTCCTCTTGTGTTTACCTTGCTGTACTGTAATTTTGCTCTTGTATGTTTTCCCTGGTGTCTCTGAGCTCTTTCAGAGCAGCATTCTGTACCTAGGATTCCTGGTACTTGGTAGATACTCAATATATAGTTGTTGAGTAAATAATCTTCTTTCTCAAGATGATACTTTGCTAGTGCTTAGTGATGACTGGCTTGTATTCAGACTTTGAAGCTTCTTAACGTAATGGATTATACTTTTCATCCTATTCAGTAGTTTTTAATTCCAAAGGAGCCTAACCATTTTGAGGGTATTCTGCTAAGTATATGCACGCCGATAATCCTAGCAGATTATCTCTGAGCAAGTAAAGTTGTTATCCTGTTGCTTTTTTTTTTCAAATACAGTATTATAAAAGCCACTGGTATCCCTTTGTAACTTACAGTTAAAAAAACTACATGATAATTTCGGCAAAGCTGGTGTGGGTATTTGAATGTGTTCAATATGTGTGATGTTATTTTATTTGAGACAAAATTTTTGACATTATACTATTTTTTTCTCTTTTCTAGTGACACTTTATGTATTTTTATGTAGACTTTGAGAGGACCACTTTTGTACATCATATTCTGTGTAGTGTCAAGTTATAGAATGAAATTTGTAGTGTGAGTAAATTCTATCTGAAAAAGCCAGAATGAAATAAGTAAGTTTTATGTGAATTAAAAAAAATCTGAATATGATACATTGTCAGGCTATGTGGTTTTTGTTGAAAAAATATTAATGATATAGTATTAGCATGATTTTCCTAGATCTGGTTCTCCTTTTAATGAAAATATATTTGGTCAATTTTACTCCCCTTTTATATAATACGATAGAAGGATTTATGAACATAATTGTATATTATACATTATCTCATCCATCTCTACTTTTGCTTTGTTGAGAATTTTAGGTTTCTATTCTTTTATATGTATTGGTTGTCAACAGTTGATCAGTCACAGTTGTTGGGAATGTTTTGCAGATGACCAGAATCTTCTGTTCAATCAAATAGCCCTGCTACTTAGCCAGAGGGGATTACGTGCATATTCTAGTCTGCTGCTTTTGCAGATAGATATTTGATACTCTTGTGCACCCTTTAGCTAAACATTTCCTCTTCTTCATGGAGTTTGTCTGCTGCTGTAGAATATGTTCTTGTCTGCCGTATTTGTGTAGAAAAAGAAAAGCAACTCCGATTGCCATGCTCTATGTGGCTATGGGTGTTATCCTAATTCTGCTTTTGATTTGCTTATTCAGAACTTATCTTGCCTTTACAAAGAGGATTGTAGCATTTTTTTTTTTATGCCAGAGGATGTGCTTATCTCTGACCTGTCTAGTGTAATTTTTAAAGCAATGCTTTCAAAGGAATGTGTGCTCTGCTAATGTGACAAGTCTGGGGCTGCAGGGTCATGGAGTAGGGCTTGCCTTATTTACGTAGCCAGAGCAAAACAACCATTCATCAATAAGGACTGACTTTTTATGTGCTGAGTAATACCATTACGAAATACTTGTCATTAATGTGGCATGAACTGTGATACAGTTTTTATGTTACTTAATAATAGGTGAGTAGTTTCTAATGAGGGTAAGAGAGTCATAAAATAAAGGGAAAACACACACACAAACCACCACCACACAAGGCAATAAAAAAATCTGTTAGGTTAGAAACAGGGCAATATTTATGAGATAGTTTTTAATAATATCAAGGATGCCTTACTGTAAAAAAAAAATCTGTTAGATGAACTGTT